GATGATACAACAGTTCTTTTTCTTTCTAATCGAACATCAGATCTTATCCAATTATTTCAAATAAATTTACCAGATGATATAATAAGTTTAACAAAATTTATTGAACCAACTCAAATCACTGATTATCCATTAAGTATTGATAATTTATTAGTTAATCGACAAGCAACACGTCTTGCATTTAGTTGTCAAGTTTATTCAAATTTATCAATTGAAGAAACACACAATCGAATGAAAACTGAAGGATTAAGTGGTGAATTAGTTTATAGATTTGATAAATTATTTATTCGTCATTGGGATGAATTTATGACTGGTCGTCGTCATCATCCATTTCTTGTCTCAATTAAACGAAATGCTAAAGGAATATTTGAATTTATGTCAACACCAAAAGATATTTTATTTGGTATCGATAGTGATTCACCAACAAGACCATTTGGCGACGGAAAAACTCAATGGTCATTTAGTTCAACAGGCAATTTATTTGCTTATACAAGACAACATGATGAAACAAGTGAAGTTGCATGGTCAACAAATTTAGATATTTATACGATTGATTTAACTTTATCAAATTATATTAGTAAATGTATTACATGTGATAATTTAGCTGCTGATACAGATCCAAGTTATTCACCAATTGATGAAAATATTTTAATTTATCGATCACAATCTGTACCTGCCTATGAATCTGATCAATATAAAATCAAATTATTTAATTATTCTTCAAATTCGAAAATAACACTTTTAAAAGATTGGGACCGAAGTATTCGACATATAACATGGACAAATGATGGTCAATCACTTTTTCTTCAATTAGGAGAAGAAGCAAGAAATGTTATCTATACATTTACTGGTATAACATCTAATAGTTCATTACCTATTCGTCTTTCAATGAATGGTACATCAAATAGTATTAATATTCATCCAGTAAATAATAATATGTTTGTTTATGTTCATGAAAGTATTGTTGAACCATCAAATATTTATTTCTATTCATCATCAATATCAATTCGATCAATAACTGATCATAATAAAAATTTATTATCAAAAGTTCGTATGAGTTATACACCTGAAAAATTTTCATTTATGGGTGCAAAAAATGAAACAGTATGGGGATGGCATATACCACCAGCAAATGGTACACATCAAAAAGCACCACTTGCATTTCTTATTCATGGTGGTCCACAAAGTAGTTGGTATGATGCATGGAGTTATCGATGGAATTATCAAGCATTTGCATCACAAGGTTATGCTGTCATTGCAATTAATTTTCATGGTTCAGATTCATATGGACAAAATTTTACTGATAGTATTACAGGTCAATATGGAACATTACCATTTGAAGATTTACAATTAGGTTTAACTGCTGCTTTAAAACAATTTAATTATATTGATGAACGTCGAGCTATTGCATTAGGTGCTAGTTATGGTGGTTATATGATTAATTGGATTGCTGGACATCCACAAATGAGTCAACGTTTTAAAGCACTTGTTAATCATGATGGAATATTTGATATGAAAGCAATGGCTTATTCAACAGAAGAATTATATTTTAATGAACATGATGCAGGAAATGTAACACAATATGATAATCCAGAAGCATATGAAAAATTTAATCCAGTAAATTTTGTTGCTAATTGGACACAACCAATGTTAGTTATACAAGGTGGTCATGATTATCGTGTACCAGATACACAAGGTATAAGTACATTTACAGCATTACAACGTCGTGGTATTCCAAGTCGATTACTTTATTTTCCTAAAGAAAATCATTGGACAATGAATCCTATCAATTCATTAGTTTGGTATCGTGAAGTATTTGATTGGATGAGTCGTTGGACAAAATAATTGAACATTTTTTTCTCAAAATATATATATCTTTATTTATTTTTCTGCATTTAACATTTTAAAAAAAAAACCAAAAGATTTTTTCATCTATATTTTATTTAATCAATAAATTTAAAAAACAAAACATTATATAAAATATAATTGAATTTATTCAGAATTATTATTAAGAAAAGAATTTTTATAGATGAAACGTCTGTGAAGAAATGACAATCAATATGTATATATTTATTTTAGTCATCACCGATACTATTATATCGATTTGTTTTTATTCATGTCTATATTGTTTTTGCAGTATCAAATAACATTTGTAAGACAATATTTTGAGTTGATAAAAATTACCTGGAAAAGTTTAACTTATTTATTAGTATACAAAAAATTTAAAATTCATCAGTCCATTCCAGTTGTCGTACTTCAATTTCATATGGTATTTCATCTTGATTAATATTAGTTACTATAAATAAAGTACCGGGTACAATTAATACTTCTTCTTCATTTTGAAAATCTGATAGTTGATCAATACTAAGTGCCGATCTTCGATCAGTAATTGTAAATATTAAAATTACTGGAAAAGTTCCAGGCCTAGGATTCGATGGATATGCAAAACCTTTAGCAATTTTCCATGATTTTGATGTTGATTGAAACGATTTATTTGTTAATGCAATACCAATTTTATATTGTGCATAATCAGATGGTGTTATTGTCATTCCACGGTATGTTTGACCAGAAAAACGATAAGGTTCAAATACTGGATTTCTTACAATAATACCTGTATAATGACCTGTCCATTTTCCACATAATTTTTCATATACTTGTCGTCGATTACCAGTCGCCATTTCACGATTTAATGTCTTATAAAATTGACTTTCTGTTGTATAAGCTCGAAGTAAAAATATTGGATTTCCTGTCTTAATTGCTTCATCAAAATAATTTTGTACAATTTGATATGATGGTTCTCCATTGTTTACTAATACATTAGCAGCTCGTATTTTTTTAACTGTTTTTTTAATTCCACGATCTTTAATACATCCCCAATGAGTAGCACGTGCAAATGCTTCAGCATGATCATTTTCAAATTGCCATTCAGGTTGTTGAATTGGATTATCACTAAAACGTTCTTTTGCTGCTTCAGTTGATCGAGGAAAAAGTTCAGCAATTTCTTTTGTTTTAGCTTCATCCAACGGTGTACAACCATATCGATTAATTACACGACGATATGCACCACGTTCAAGAAGACGACAAACAATTTCTTTATGTCCATAGTAAGAAGCAGCATGAAGACAAGTACTTCCATTCGGTTCTAAACGACTGAGACTTTCTAAAGGTGTATTTCTTAATTGACGTTCAACACTTTCCATATCACCATTACGACAAGCCAAATATAATTCACTAACATTCGATGCTGCCATACCTTTTTTTTTTATATTCTGCGTTTTAAAATTTCTGCGTCAGACATCCTATTCAAATGCATATATATGTGCTCGATTATTATATTGTAAAATGGAATTTTTATTGACATAAGATATGATTATATGTATTTTTTCTTTCTCTTCCTTTTATTTCGAAGTACACCATTTCTAGTGTATATTCATGATTTTATTATGTTTATTAATGGTATTATAAGAAATGAGTTGAGTATGTCCTTATGATTTTGAATATGTAAAGAAAAGGGTAGTCATTAATAAGTATTTAAGAAAGAAAAACAACTTCATACGTGGCATCAGTTCAAGTTTTGTCATCATTAATTCTTTTTTATTACGTTTTATGCTCGTTGCAAAAAAAAAAGAAATCATAATGTCTGGCGAAAACTAAACAAGATTTCGATTTTTTTCATAGAAAGATGTAATATCATCGTCATCAATTAAAATTGTACTTGAAATCATATATTTAACCAAGAACAAATTTATCGAAAATATCTTATGCATATGTTGATAGATGTCGTATTTATATTGAATAAAAATCGATACTTATTTGGTATAGGTTAAGGATTTTTGAGAGATGACTCACAGTTATCATTGTTCAGGTCACGTGTCTTAGACATGGTATAATAGTAATAGTAACGAACTCGAATATTCTGGAGCTCCTTTTACATAATCATGTCTACAATATATACTCGGTGAATTTAACAGTTGTTCTCATGATTCAAACACAGAAGAGAAATTTAGTTTGTTTTAATTAAACCGTGTTCTCTATTTTTAAAATTGAGATTGATTTCAAATGGCTTCAAATAATAGTCATCTTGCATCAGAATTATTTGTTTTTTTACATGGATTTACCCAAGACGGAGGTGTAGGTGGTGGTGGTCAAATAGCTAAATATATTGCATCTCTTTTTCATGTTTCTGTTGAGCAACCAAATTTAAATCAACCATCATTTAATGAATTTTCTATTTCGAATGCTATTAAAATTATTGATAAATTATATGATGAAAAACAAAAACAAAAGAATGAACGTATTAAAATGAATCTCATCGGTGCTAGTATGGGTAAGTTAATAGTTTAAAATTAAAGAAAAACAAAATATTTATCTTAGGTGGTTATATTGCTGCACGTTATGCTGAAATTTATCCTGATCGTGTTAAAAAATTATTTCTTTTATGTCCAGCATTTGGTTTAGCTGCAAGATGGCGTGAATTTTTATCGGATGAGGATTTAAATCGTTGGAAAACATCTGGATCATATGCATATGATGGACGTCAATTACATTATGGATTTTTTCAAGATATAACTGAAAATCATCCACCATATCCGCAGGTATCATGTCCAACATCAATAGTACATGGAAAATCTGATCGTATTATACCAATAGAAGCTAGTCGAAAATTTATTGATGAACAAAAATCTAAAGAATTAATTAAACTCGTTGAAGTTGATGATGATCATTATTTAACAAAAAGTGTATTTCAAATTATACCAATTGTTTCACAATTTTTGCTTTAATAGAAATATAAATAAAAAGAGAAAAACATACTATTCTTTGTGTTTCTGTCATTGATATTTTTTCCATAGAAAATAGAGCATCCTGTCTTGAACACATTTACGAGATATATTGAACTTTTTTTAGATGAATTCCAAGAAACTTGTAAAGCTATTCATATATTTTTGTTAGTGGGTTCACTACACTTCTCTTATCTATTTTTCAATATTTCTAGAATACGGAACTATCAGTTCACAAGTAGCAACTGATTGATAGTGACAACAGTATTATATTATGAGTTATAAGAAAAATGAATGAAGTAGAATATTTATAGTTTATAGATGGGTTGTTTTAATAATGTAGTTTATTTTAGATGGTATTTTTAAAAACAATTATGAAGACGAGAAAATGATTTGGGCAAAATCGATGGGCAATACAACAAATCATTTATTGTTGTGTGTTAGTCAATCATCAAGAAAAACCCATCGAGAACGACCAGTATGTCTTCTTTAAAATGCAATAAAAATTATTAGTAATTTCTTTTTTTTGTAATAGTATGTATCTCGTCCATTTTGGCCATATGAACATCACCATCATCATAATGTGTCAACAAATATTTTAGAAAATTCTCATGTACGTGAAATAAGCCCATTCTGTTCGATACATAAAGTAATCATTTCTATTTAATGTATAGAAAAATAAATATTGTTTTATTTTAATTATTAGATTGTTCACGAGAATACTCAATCTCGATCTGTTCATATTGTTAAAATTCCTTTACGCAATTAAATTTAGAAAAAAAAGAGAGGAAATAATAGAAGCTTTTATTTTCCGGTGTTTTTCTTTGTCTTTTTGTTGTTTTATTGTACCCGGTGTATTTTTTCTGTTTTCATTTTATTTTTACCAAGACAAAATAATATATATGTATACCATAGTAAAGTTAACCTGTTTGTCGAAATTATAATTTTAACAAATTCAATTGTAATTTCGACAAGATAGATCATTAAAATTCATTTCAGAAAAGTGAAACTATAATATTTATTGATTTTACGCTTCACATATGTAATTCCCCTTCGTTCCGCTTCATGGGTTATTTCCTTTGACACGTCACGTATATTGAAATTTTCCCCGTACTTATTTATGAGTCATTTAGTACTGTATGTATTACATTTTTTGAGATTTATCTCAATAACCCGGTAGATATTTCCCAAAGATGCATAATCCACTATCGTATACATAGTCTGTGATTTTCCCTGACTAAAAGATATATTTTCTATTCACTTAAGACTCATCATCATCCTTCGTGACAAATACGAATAATAGTAATTAATAGAACACATAATTCAGTATATTAAAATCTTATAGTTTCACTTTTCTAAAATGATCTATCTTGTTTGATAAGTGAATTTGTCGAATTTATAACTTCGATATATATATATATGACAGTAGTATGAAATCAATCTCATTTTTGTTTTTGTTTAGATATTAAAGTTTAGATGAGTGTTAATGTGTTAGATACATATCGAGATTGTCCATTCTGTTTAAAACTTCTTTATGAACCAGTATCAACATTATGTGGTCATACATTTTGTTTATTATGTCTTGAACGTTTTATAATTGCATCTGATTCAATATTAAAATGTCCTATTTGTCGTGAAGATTTAACTTATCTTCGTTCAACATCGAATCATTTAAAAACAAATACAATTCTTCATAATCTTTTTCGACAAGAATATGAAAAAGAATATGAAATGCGACGAAATGAACTTGAAAGTATAAGAAAAAATATTATTAAAAAACGTTTAATTATTGGAAATACTCATCAATTATTATCTTGTGATTATAATCATAAACAACACGAATGGACATTATTTATCAGATTCGATAATGACGATCAAAATGATATTGGTCAATATATTAAACAGATTCAAATTAATTTACATCCAACATTTACACCATCACAAATTATTCTTGATAAACCTCCATTTCGGCTGACGCGAATTGGATGGTAAGATAAAACAAAATTTTAAATAATATTTGAAATAATATTTCTATATTTAGGGGTGTTTTTACTGTTCATATATCTATTGAATTTCATGCTAAATGGAACAAATCTGATTTAGTAACAAATTGGTTTTTATCTTTTACAAATACAGGCAATCACAAAGTAATGGAAATTGGATTTCAAAAATCAACAGATGATATTACAATTAATTGATTGTTATATTCTTTAGGATCTACTTTATTTTTGTTTATAGAGTGATAGTATTTAAGAAATTGATATGTATTAAATAAATTAATGAAATTTATAAAGTTATTCAACTGTTTTATTCGTTATGATTTACATGAAATATCTTCTATGAATTTCAATTCAAATATCAGAAATATAGACTCAAACGAATAAGTAAATGTCGATTCGATTCGATTCGATTCGACCCAGTTTTAAAAAATCTCGATTCGATTCGGTTCACCTCAACCGAATCATTCGCTTCGATTCATTCTCTGATAAGAAATTGAAATATTCTCCAGTTCGACTCGATTAACTTCACTGGTTTTTTTTTGGTTATTGGTGGAACTTCACTTCTATTTTCTTTCATACTATTAAGTATTAAGGTTAACTTTATCAAAAAAAATTTAATCTATTATCAAAAGAGAAAAAACTATGTGAAACATATTGAAGACAATTATTAGTTATTATTTGATAGAATGACAAGAAAAAATCAAAATACACGTTATGTATACTCCTACATTGATTTATACAGAGAAAATTTTCAAAATTAATTAGTTTGAAAGTCAGCAGTTAGAAAATTTCTATTCTTTGCTAAGAGCTGACTGATACGATACTTGAAGACTTTTAATTGTGCTATAATAATATATTCAGTATAATAGAACGCTGCTCTTATAACTGAATAATATATTTTTGATGGTATAAACAATGTTTAATTAACATGTGTTTGTATTGATTATTTATTCAGTAGGACTTTATCATAAAACATAATATGAAATAATGATATCGAACAATAATTATAATAAGATAGAGTATTAAATCTTGATACTGTCCGAAAGAAGCACTTCTCAAGGAACTAATATTACTCTAGAATCAATAATTTGCTAATCAAACATAATAATATAAAAAGCTCTTTTACTTACGAGAGAACCCTACTCATTTTATGATTATTGCACTGAATCTTTGACTTTGAACAAAACATTTATCAAAAAAAAAAAATCGAAAAACGATATTTTGATTTGAAATATCGCTCATAAAGAAGTGTGATGATTATTATAAATTATTGACACTCACGTCCTCACCCCATCCTTCTTATATATTTAACAGGACTAATCGATAGATTTTTTTTTCTTACCTTCTAACTATGTTTCTTCCTTAGTTTTTAATGAGAATGACTTGATAAGCACCTTTTCAAAAATATTCATTGAAAGTCAATGAGTATAAACATCATTTTGTTGTTTAATTTTTCTATAGTAAGATAAAATCATCTATTTTCTTTTCAGTAGCGCTAATTATGAATTAGTTCCTATGTTTCTCTTTTCAATCGTTTACGTCATAGCGCTTTTTTCATCTCCATCAGGGTGACCAGAAGATACTGTGTTTATGTAATAGTATTCTAAACTTTGTCGAAGTTAGTTCATTTTCAAAAACAAACTTTGTTACATCATCATCTATATTGATAACAAAATAAAGATTAGAAATTAAAAAACAATCTCTTATAATACTAAACAGATTCATGACATTATATTGAATCATTTGATATTTTTGGTAAATTAGCTGTCGTATTACTTTCACACTGAAAAACAAATCATATTCATATTTACATTTTCTTTAATAACAATAATTTGAATCATAGGTATATGACCATACATACGAAAAATAAAGAGATAAGATTGTTTATAATAAAAAATAGTGACATATGATCAATATTTTATGTTTTACTTAGGAGATTGCAGTCGTTCATTTTTGTAATAAAAAATATTTTACTTTACCTCACATGATAGCTTAGTCATAAAGAAGCATGTCATTTTTCAAAGAGCAGTAATCGGCTGAGTATGTTTCTTCGATATTTCGTAAGATTTGTGATTGATTTTTTATGCAAGTTAGAAGAAAAGAAGCTTTTACTTCAAATAGAATTTTTTATTGTTTTTAACTATCAAAATTGTATAATATCGTATACAAAACAAAGAATCTAACATCGAATCGTAGTAATTACACATTTTTTGATATTTATAATATAAATCAATGGGAAAGTTAATAGTAACCACCTCCCATACCACCACCCATGCCACCGTAGCCGTATGGTGAACCATAACCACCACCCATTCCTCCCATTCCTCCCATTCCCATTTGTTGTCCACCGAAGCCACCCATTCCCATTCCTGGTTGACCGTAACCGCCCATTCCCATTCCCATTCCTGGTCCACCCATTCCACCCATTCCCATTCCTCCACCCATTCCATGGTGACCATGATGATGATGATGATGACCGCCGAACATTATTGGTATGTGCTGTACGTTAAGAATAAACTGTAAAAAAGAGAAAAACCGATCTGTATGTATGAATGTGGATTTTAGAACGTATTTATACCTTTAACTTATATTCGTTCTCTCTTGAATAATTATCATAGTTTTAGAAAAAAAATGTACAAAAACTTATCATGCGTGTCAAACCAGTGTATCTCTAGAAGCTTCCTTTCAAATAAAAATATTTAATCATTAAAAATATACACAAAACTTTCGATTACTCACTCAATATGTATCTTATCAACGAATATTCGTAATAAATCGACATACTAGTCAAATAAAGTTTGTGGAGCATGACTATTCGTTATATTATTCATGTTTACAAAAAAACAACCGAAATATTGGTGTACCTAATAATCATTTTTTATGAATCAGTTGATGTTTACATCACCAACGACGCATATGTAAAATTTAATTGAATAAATGCATGAATATAATAATTACGTATATCAGAACGATAGAATTTTTTATATCATTATTTTCTACGCATTTGTGTTTTTCTTTGTAAATAAAGTTTGTAATCCGATAGAAATATTTATTTTCCATTATTGACGAATGAATTTAACTTGATGATTTTAAATTTTTATTATCAAATAAAGAAGTTTATTGTACAATTTATTTCTAATTTTTTTATCTAATAATAATAATAAACTAATATAAATATGCTCTATGCCGATTTTGAATTGTTAAATTGAATTAATTATTGTCATTGAATGATCAGTGCATAAACTATCAATAATGTATATCTAATAAAACGATTTTGTGAGAATCCAATATGTAATCGAGAAAATAAAAGTAATTTTTGTATAAAAAGTTCAAATATTTCTAATTCATTTCGTATCATCTATAATATATAATAATCAACTCAATGACTATTGATTTGTCATAGAGAAATCAATAAATACCAAAAAGATTTTTATAAGATACAAATGTTGAATAAAAAGAACTAATTGTAAAAATTGTGACATAGACAACAACAGATTGCAATTTGCAATACATATTGGAAGTAATATGAACAAAATAAATACGAACCAGGAAAGTTTTCTTCGATAACCATTTGACGATGGGGGTGATGAATGAAGTGTATAATCCTCGACTATTTCTGATCATAAAAGTAGTCCATAAAGAGATTGATATTGTTTAATATAATCATCTTTCTTATCCTCGTCAGATTGTATTATCTGACTAAGCAGATTATACTTTTGAATATCATCTGATTCTTTGATTTGTTTAAGTTCACATGATGCTGTTTAACCGCTGTAATATGTTGTTTAGTAATTAAACAATTCTTGTCAATATCGAAGCGTTTTACACATTCACAAGCAGGATCTTTGCCATGTGAACATCGTACGATAGCGCCAGGTAAACATTAACGAGCTTGATACCATTGTTGTTTATTTAGAAATCGTTGTTCATGTACTATATTTCTCGTAGAATATTTGTAGCTAATACAAAAATAGTTTTAATATTTAGGTAGTCGATAAAAAATATGTTAAAATAAATGAAAACTTACTTTGTTTTCTTTTCGAGAAGAAAAGAAACGATTACGTTTAATATTTCTTCTATAACAAGTAAACATTAAATAAGTTAATCTATTCAATTTATTGTATATTATCAATCTATAGAATAGACTCATTTATTGACTATAAATGACGAAAAACATCTATCATTTGTACTTGTTTCATTCTATTTCTATTCATAAAAACAAAACAATATACATCTATTTATTTGCATAAGGAACAAAAAATATAAGTCGCATCATGTTCTTATTATACTAAATAAAATTTCACGTATTTCAACAATTCTTACCATCTTATGACATCGGCAAGTACATTTATGTTGGAAAAAACCAAAGTGAAGCTGATAGAAAAAAACAATTTATACTTTTTTTAACTTTTTATATAATTCGTTGCTGTTTTTTTTTTTCGCTCATTTTCCAAAACTTGATATATCATATGGTCAAAAATAATCAAATAACTTACATTAATCAATAATGTTTCATCCTAGTTAATTAGCCATTATATTGGATTTTTTTACGATATAAATCTTTTTCGAATTATTTAGAGAAGACATTATAATACTAAGAGTTGCGGGCGTGTAGTGCAATGGATGTCTAGTACTCCACCCTTGAAGAAAAATACCAGGAGGAGAGCATCGGTTAAACAAACTACTTGTATGACGAAGAGATTTTCTAGTAGCGTGTACCCTCCTTGAAAATTTTCTGGCTACGCTACTGAAGAGTTATATCAATAAAGTAATCACACGCTAGTTGAGCAATAAAAAAACAGTTCTCATCCTATTTAACATTTCTCAATTGCTATTCAAGTTTTTTCTTAGATTTGTAATAGTTGTAATAATTATAAGATGTAAAAGAATCGTCTGTTCATTGCATTTGAATCTGATATTCAACTAATATATAAACACTTTCATTTCTCAATAAATTGTCTACATCAAGATTTTATCAATCTCATTGTCGACATATAATAAATTTATATACAATAAATTCATGATATTTAGTCGTTTATGTTGGATACATACATTATATGTATATTTTTTCTACGATTCTTATTTTATCTACTAGACAAAATGTTATTTTTGTTGGTTTTATTTTTAATAAATATTTCGATATTATGAATAAGCAATATTTAAGCAAGAATGATTCTTCCAGCTCTTTATTACCTATCAGCATATGTTTATCGATGTAGGATGCACAATTAAAAATATTTGCGAATTGTACGTATGTTGTTTACAATATATCATTAGAAGCATTTTATAAGCAAAATTGATAGATGTAACCATTCATTCCAATTGGACTGGTCAAATGAGCAACAAAAAAGTATACCTATCAAAATAATAGTTTTCATTGCGTATATGTTTTTCATGCAGTTTAAAAGATATTTATTTGTCCTTATCTATCATTTATTTTGAATATATCATTGTCGTTTCTTGTTCTTTAATATCAAATGCGCTCAGTTTAATTAATACTGAAGAAAATATTTGCCTGTTTTTCATACTTCATTAGAAAATCTGATGAGTTTATGACGTATATAAAGATAATTTAAAGGTATGAGTGAAAGTGAGTATATAGTCATTTTATTTATCTTTTAATTCTTCTTCGATTTGTACTATCTATAGGTTCTAATAAAGTGCGTCTTTATCTATATTACACAATGATATTTCTAGTGAGTCTAGGAGCATTTTATGCTTTTCATCATATAACACGCAAACATCCATCAGATTATTTATATACAGAAAAATGTATATTATATGCTATTTCAAGTTTTTTCAATATGTTTGTACTCTTCTTTCATTGCTGCACCGCCATTCAAACTAAAAAATAAATCATATTCATATTTACATTTTCTTTAATAATAATAATTTCAGTGATAGGTATATGACCATACATGCGAAAAATAAAGAGATAAAATTGTTTATAATAAAAAATAGTGATATATGATCAATATTTTATGTTTTATTTAGGAGATTGCAATCGTTCATTTTTGTAATAAAAAATATTTTACTTTACCTCACATGATAGCTTAGTCATAAAGATACATATCGTTTTTTAGAGAACAGCAATCGGTTGAGTACGTTTCTTCGATATTTCGTAAGATTTGTGATTGATTTTTATACAAGTTAGAAGAAAAGAGGATTTTACTTCAAATAGAATTTTTTTATTGATTTAAACTATCAAAATTGTATAATATTGTATTACAAAACAAAGAATCTAATATCGAATCGTACTAATACACATTTTTTGATATTTATAATGTAAATCAATGGGAAATTTAATAGTAACCGCCCATTCCTTGTCCGCCGAAGCCACCCATTCCACCCATTTGTTGTCCACCGAAACCACCCATTCCCATTCCTGGTTGGCCGAAGCCACCCATTTGTTGTCCGCCGAAGCCACCCATTCCCATTCCTTGTTGACCGTAACCACCCATTCCCATTCCTTGTTGACCGTACCCACCCATTCCCATTCCTTGTTGACCGAAGCCACCCATTCCTTGTCCACCCATTCCCATTCCATGGTGACCATGATGATGATGATGATGACCGTTGAACATTATTGGTATGTACTGTACGTTAAGAATAAACTGTAAAAAAGAGAAACACCGATCTGTATGTATGAATGAGAATTTTAGAACGTATTTATACCCTTAACTTTTATCCTTTCTCCCTTGACTAATTATCATAATTTTGTAAAAAAGTACAAAAAGTTATCATGCGTATCAAATCAATGAATCTCTAAAAGGTTTCTTTCAAATAAAAATATTTAATCATTAAAAATATACACAAAACTTTCGATTACTCACTCAATATGTATCTTGTCAACGAATGTTCGTAACAAATTGACATGCTAGCCAAATAAAGTTTGCGGAGCATGACCATTCGTTATATCATTCATGTTTACAAAAAAACAATCGAATGTTCGTGTACCTAATGATCATTATTATGAATCAGCTGATGTTTACATCACCAACGACGCAATATGTAAAATTTGATTGGATAAATCCATGAATATAATAATTACGTACATCGGAATGATAGAATTTTCGATATCATTATTTTCTACGTATTTCTGTTTTTCGTTGTAAATAAAGTTTGTAATCCGATAGAAAGATTTATTTTCTTCTTTTGATTCAGTATATTTTCCATTGTAGACAATTCATTTCGAATTTCTTTATCTAATAATAACAATAAACTAATATAAATATGTTCTGTGTCAATTTTAAATTGTTAAATTGAATTAATTATTATCATTGAATGCTCAGTACATAAACTATCAATAATGTATATCTAATAAAAATTTCTGTGAGAATCCAATATATAATTGAGAAAACAAAAATAATTTTTGTATAGAAAATTCAAAGATTTCTAATTTATTTCGTATAATCTATAATATATAATAATCAACTCAGTGACTGTTGATCTGTCATAGAGAAATCAATAAATACCAAAAAGATTTTTGTAAGATACAAATGTTGAATAAAAAGAACCATTTGTAAAAATTGTCACATAATCAACAACAGATTGCAATACCCAATGGAAATAAAATAAAGAGGATGAATTCTATAGACATATATGGCGTTTAGGTGAAACATCCATGAATCTGAAAAGAGAAGATAAAATCAAAGCAAATAAAGCAAAAGCAAGTTTTATTTTCGATTGTTTGAATAGGGATTCCAATGGATTTGAATTACAAAAATTATTAATTCAATGGGGCTTACCAGAAAATGAAGTTGATGAATATCTTGTTACGGATGATGATGATGATGAAAAATATTCTTTTGATGAGTTCTGTCAAAATATGAAGTCAATATGGGATTTTGCATCTGAAAACATGATTGTAAGCAATGATGATCAAGTAGTACAACCGTCGCATCCACATTCAAATTAAACAACTAATGAAAAACCTAAACACATCATATTTACAATGAATTTTATCTATATTTTTAAATGAAGAAATAGCAAAAACAAATCAGAGTTTAGACTGATGTGTAAGCACATTTATAATAATTATATTGTTTTTTAATCGCTCATGAATTTTTAATTATTAAATATATTCAATCTCTATCAATACAAAAATTTTCTGGGACATAATATAATGCAACATTATCTTTATTTGCAGCTCTGGCGACCGCTGTTTGTCCTATAACACTCCATAAGAAATTGCAGAAGAAAGAAAAAATATGGTGGTATTATCAGTACACCACAACACACACTTTTCCAGTACTGAGTTGTTTTCTACAAAACCCTCGATTGCTCTGTAGCGACAATACAAAGCAAGGGAATAGAGTCATAATGTAATATTATATTTTGTAGAAATCTTCTAGAAACAATCGAATTTAAATTACTTCCGTTTTCTTTAAGATGAAAGAACAGATAATCTTCAATAGGTTTGAATTAATGTCAATATATGAAACATTTATTTATTTTTTATACAAAAAAGAAAAACGAACAAAAAGAAAAAGGTTTATTGATAATGAAATCACAAATGTTTAACAAAAAAAATACTCTTCATATTTGAAATTTGTAAGACATATTCAAATAATTGTAATTGTATCTGAATTAATTAATTGACGAATTTGTACTAGTAGATGATGAACAGGTAATAAAACACTGACATGATTTTCTCCAATATGTTGATTAATCTATTAAAAAAAAATAAATAAAATCTTTTTTCTTCCAGAAGAAAAAAAAACATACCGATTCACTATGTAATTCATAAAATTGATAAAGTTTAAAAAGACAATCAATTGAAGTATCATCAGCAAGTATTAATGATCGAATATCTAATGATGATAATAAAGAATTTCTCAACGGATATGAAGATAATTGAAATAGATTTGTATTAAATGAAGAAAAATATTTTTTCTCATCTTCAAATAAAATTTGAATTTCTTTTGAAAAAGAATTTTTTGTTTGAAAAATAAATTCTAAACCATCAGCAATAACATTTAAACAAGATTGAATTATTGGACATGTTGATCTAGATAACATTAAATGATTTATTTGTCGTATAAGATCACTTATTAATTGTATGTATTGTTTAAATAAATCTTGAGATTTATTATCGATTGTGATGAAATTTAATCCATTGAGAATTTCTTTATAGAAATTTAATAAAATTTCATTGAAATATTTTTTATTTTGTATTAATTGTTTTAAGATAAGATTTTCATCTTTAATTAAATCATTTTCTTGACATAAATGATATTGATAATGAGATTTTCTTTCCGATGATAAATTCCATGAAGTTTTTTTTCGACATATTATCGTTGAATTTATTGAATATTGTTTTAATATTGGTATTTGTTGTGTACAGGAACAAATATTTAATGGTGAAATTGATAAATCAATTTGTTCATATGAAGTTTGTTCATAGGAATTTAAATAATGAATTAATTTTGTTTTTACTTGATCAATTGTATCACAATCAAATACAGAAAGATGAAAACGTAAAAGATTTTCATAATTTATTGATAAATCAATTGAATTATATTCAAAATTTGGTATTAATAATAATGTTGAGGATGATAAAGAATTTATTGAACGATTTAATAATTGATCACATGGTCCACAATCAAGATAATTTATTAATGAATCAAGTAATTTATCAAATATATGAAATATTTCAATTGAATTTGTTTTAGATTGAAATAATAATGATGAAATTAATTTTAAATATGTTATTTGACGTGTTATTGGAAATGATTTTAAATTTGATGGATTATAACGATAGATATAGATATAACATTTTAATAAATCATTACAATCATTTTTTATTAATTCATCAATAAATGCTTCAGAAAATGGGGTCATGCCAAGTAAATCATAAAATAATTCCATTGATTGACGAAGATTTGATGAATTTGATCTAAATTGAAAACAAATACGTTAGATAAAGAGGATCTAAATTATTCGTTCTAGAGAAAGCCTCATCTGTTCTGGATTAAAAACTAATGAGGAAAAGTTTTCAGTTGATACTCTCGGTTCAAATTCAATGTAGGGAAAAATTCGTACCGTTGGCTCTTTTTTTCCTTGACATATGGACATTTTTAGTCTCTCCGTGATGCATGAAAAATTCAGCTGAAATAGATCTTTTCATATTGAGATAATACAGTAGCAAGAAATCATTTCTTTCCTGCAGAAGCTCTAGAAATAGTTTGGTATTTAATTCTATGATATCTTAAGAAAAACTCTTCCGCTTGAGTTTAAACTTTTTATCGTTATATTCTATAAATACACTGGAAATCTAATAAAATGTTTACAAGTCAAAAGAAGAACTCAACGGTACGATCTCTTTGAGAACTTTTCTCTAAGCACTAACGAGGGAACCTTTTCAAGTGTTGGTCTCGGATTTCAATTATTTTCCGGCTCATTAGTACTAGGTAGTACCCTAATAAAAACCATAAAAGGATTTGACTTGATATTCATTCCTTCAAAGGTTATGGCCATTTTACTGAATTTTCGACCTGGTCCTGGGTATAGATCGGGAAAATCTAAATAACGAATTTCGAAGTGAAATTTCGCCCATAGATAGATATAAGGATCCTAAGAATATTCTGAAAGTTTCAGGCAAAAAGAATCGCCCGTTATTGAGATATCAAATTTCCAAGTGAACTCGGTTCCTATGACTGATCTGCGGCAAGCGAGTATATTTTAAAAATTCGATATCTCGATAACGAACGATTCTTTTTGCCTGAAACTTTCAGGATATTCTTAGGATCATTATATCTATCTATGGGCGAAATTTCACTTGGAAATTCGTTATTTAGGTTTTCCCGATCTATACCCAGGACTAGATCGAAAATTCAGTAAAATGGTCATAACCTTTGAAGGAATGAATATCAACTTAAATCCTTTTAGGGTTTTTATTAGGGCACTACATAGTACTTATGGGCCGGAAAATAGTTGAAATCCGAGATCAACATCTGGAAAGGTTCCCTCATAAGCTCAGACAGAGAATATCGGATAATGAGATTTATTCGTAAATCAAATTAATGATATAATCTTATTTAACTTAACACATTTGATTGTATTACTACCCTCTGACTCAACTATGGCTTCTATTCTTTTGAATAATTCTTAAGAATAAGTAGAAAACAAAAATATGAAATTGTATTATTTTTTTTGCTTACTTAACATCCGATGTATATATTAATTTTTTTAATTGTTCATGTTCAATTGATATTGTAGTTAAAACAGGTGCTTTGCTTTGTAATTGTTGCATTAATGATAATGTTGAATAATCTTGTTTATAATGTTGATGATATGGACAAACAAGTAAAGGTGCACGTGTTAATGTATTTTGATGTGATGATGACGATGAAATTTGTTCATAGACTTGATAATAAGGACCAGCAGCTGCTGATGTTGATGTTGACCAAAATGCTTTTTCATTTTGTTCAATAGGTCTTATTGGTGACAAAGAAGAACTTTTTTCTTTTGAATTTCGTAATTTAATATATAAACAAATAGCAAATGTAAGTAAAGCAATTGTTAATAGACAACTAGCTAATGATAAATAAATAATTGTAGCAACGGAATATCGTGATGATGTTACATGAATATATGATAAATAACCAATTAAATATTCACGAAAACCAATACGAAAACGAATTGGACTAATTGAAGAATTATATACAGTACAATCGACTAGAAAAAATAAATATAAAATCTCTTTTTAATTCTATGAATAGAAAACAAACCTTGATGTTGTTGATTATTTAAAAGTAATGGTGTATTTATTAATAATTTTGATGGTGGTTGACATGTTATTCCTTTTGATGTAAATGTTTTAAGTTTACATTCAGTACAACCAATAAATAATTCAATATCTTCCATTGATGCTGCTTCAGTTAAATTTTCTACTTGTAATTTAAGTTCTTCACCTGTATATGGTAATGTTGGTGGAATTGTTGATACATTTAATAAAACATCTGATATATAATGAAATTGTATTAAATTTGGTAATAATATTGAATCATCAAAATCAAGTGAAAAATTTATATCAACTGGTGGAGAATTAAATTCATCGGATGAACTTGGAATTCCTGGTGTACGAAAATTAAATGATGATATTAATCCATCATCGGATGATATGATATTATCCGGAATTATCTATAAATTAAAAAAAATGAAATAAAATCTTGATAGTGAATATAAATACTTGTAATTTTGCATTCCATTTTCGATAGGAAAATTCAACTATTATCGATTGTGCAGATCCAAAATACATTCCACGAATAGTTATTAATCGGCCACCACTAAAATTAGAAAAAAAAGAAAACGGTAAATGAGAATATACGCAAAATGCATTTTCGATGGTTTTTCGAATTTAGGGGTGGCGGCACCTTTACTTTGCGTTGCTTTTTTGTCTAGGGTGATTTCCAAGGACGTTTTCACACCTGGTCAAACTGTTTTGATGCCAGGTTATAGATCTCAGTGAGAGCTATAACTTTGCTCTCAAGGCCACCTCTCGATATTGCTTACGAGCGAAGCTATGGAGGTAAAATCAAGAAGTTACTCAGTTACTAGTAAAGTAACTTATTTTTTTGTTCATTTTACCTCCATAGCTTCGCTCGTAAGCAATATCAAGAGGTGGCCTTGAGAGCAAAGTTATAGCTCTCACTGAGATCTATAACCTGGCATCAAAACAGTTTGACCAGATGCGCAAACGTCCTCGAAAATCACGCTAGACAACAAAAGTAACGGTGCCACGCCTATTTCGAATTCAAATTACCTGGCAAAACTTGTAATTGGATTAATATCTTGAACAATTGGATTAGGTGTTACTTTTAAATGAATTCCATTATTTAGAACTGTTTTTCCATCTATCAGAACGGTAACATTATAAAATCCTGATGATAATGATGGTAAACGACATGTTAAAACATTTGTTATTGATTTTTTTATTGTTATACATTGAAAATTTCCAATAAATATTTGTTGTGAACTTCCAATAAGTAAATTATTTCCAGTTATAGTTAAAATTTGTCCACCAAATTCATAGACAATTAATGGATTAAATGAAATTATTGATGATTGACGATATTCAATCGAATCTTTTGAAAAAATAATAATTGAATTATCTAATTGAATTTTAATTGGACCATGTCGAGATGAATTCGATCGATTTGATTGACATTCAATTCGATTTGAGATTTTTATTATTAGACAAGGTATATCAGCTAATGTTATTTCATTAATTTTCTCACCTATTATATCATTTAAATAAATTGTTACAAATGTTTCACTATTTAATGGAAGAATTTTTGGATAAAAATCTTTGATTTTTAATGATGTACATGGAGTATTTATTGAACATTGATTATCTTTTTTTGATAAACATTTACCTTGACACCATGAACATGTTACATGTAATTGACATTTATCACATGAATCATAAAGATCACAACGATAAATAAACATTTTTATGGGAATACCAATTGATAGATTATTTTCATATATTGATAAATATGTCATTTGATTGTTATCAGTATTTATTTCAGGAATTTTTGAAATATGGCAGATGTTATTTTCATCAATAAAACCAGATATTGTTTCATTTAAACGACATTCAAGTGTAGATTTAATTATATTAGAAAATTGTAAAGGAATATCAATGGATTGTCCAGATTCAATAAATATATTGGAAGAATTTCGAAGATTAAATGATGGACATTGTATTGAAGATTTTTCAGTACAAACTGATGAACAGCGATCTGAACACCATTGACATCCTTTTTCAGATCGACAAGATTCACATGATAAATACGATGAACAATCATAAAATGTAAATTCAGGTATTGTTGCAATACTTGTATTCGATGGCCATTTTATCACGGATAAACGTACTTGAAATTTGTTTCCTATAAATACATTTTACCACTATTGAAATTTAAAACGAAAGTGGGCAAAAGAATAATTGAGTAGAGGAATATCGATGTATGAAACTGGTTTCCGAAAGAACTTTTTTGAGGTTAGCTTTGTTCCGAATGGTTTTTTTCTCTTTTCCAATGAGCTACAAAACTGCCGAAAAAAATTCTCTGGACAATTCGGTCATTTCTTCCACTAAAATTTGCTTGAAAAAGTACTTTGGGAAACTATTCTCTTTTTCCTAGAGAAGAGTGTTGCAAGAATAAATTGTTTGTTTGATTGCTTGTGTGTCCGCAGGGTCAAAAAAACATCGAAAACCCATTTTTAGAAAAAGACATTTCTAGAGGTATTTCGATGCAGGGACTTCGAATCTAATGTTAATTTTTTTAAATGTTTTTGAAAAACGCTTTTTTTAAACGAAGGACTATTTTTTTTATAAAATTTGACGAAACGGTTTTTGAGATCAGGGAACACGAATCTGATGTTTGTATTTGCAAGTTATGTAAGCAAAAGGTCTCGTAGCATTGCAGAACACCGTTACTACGAGAAAGAGCTGAGAGCGTTACTTGTTTTCTATCGAATAGTGGAAATCGCAAGTCGCTATTAACTTTTGTTCGAAAGTTACAGGCTTCTTCTCCATCTGTCTTCCCTTAAAATTCCAATAGTAGTAATAATAATCAAGATTAATTTGCATTTGATAGCATTTAGTTTAATATTATGACTTATTTTATCTCTAATTTGTTGAACAAAAAGATACAAATTATAGTATTTCATCATACATAAGCATTGTTCAAGTGAGACTAATCGATAGACGACAGATGTGCCTTTTGTATCTCTATAATAACAATGAAATTGAATTCTTTTTTCGATTAAATAGAATATTAGTTCAAGATTACAAATCTGCATTAAAAACTTGAATATAAGTGTAATAATGAATTTATACTCATCATAAGCTTTTTTTTCAAATGTCAGTTTTCTTATGAAGTTCATTCAATATTCATTAAAGAATTCTACATACTTCAATAAAATAATATTCATTGTTATTCTAACAGTTTTTTTTATAGAATTTAACTGTGATGTAATAATAGATAAATCTGATACAAAAGGATCAATTAAAGCTATTCTCAAAATTTTACGCATCAATTTTTCACTTGACTGAAGATTAAATTGACCTTTTTCTCAACCGATACATATAGCTTATCCTCTTAAATAAATGGTTATTTTTTTTAAATAGATTAAATCAATCTACATTCTTCCTGTTCTCTCTTTCGATAAAAATCAAATTGAATTTCTAATTTTTATATGTTATTATAAAACAAATAAATCATACCCATTTGTATATGAGATTTTTTCAAATAATTTGATGGTGTAGGACATGAAAGTCGATTATAATCTAATTTAATTGCTTGTGTATTTGCTGATATTATTTGATTTGCAAAAATACATTGATAGATTTCATTATGTTCTAATAATGGTAATCGTGATAAAGTTAAATTTATCTAAAAAACAAAATTCAAATGAATATTTCTTAATAATAAAGTTTTTCTTCAAACCCATTGATCTTGATCAATCGATGCATTCAGTGGTTTAATATTGATAATCTGTGTACATTGATTGGTCTCTTGTTGCCATGATTTAATCGAACAATCACTTAACAATGTACACCTATATTAAACGGAAATATTCAACATTTTTTTAGTCTAGACAAAATTTTCTTAAATTGTTCATTTTTCTTTGAGTTAATCATTCATCGCTATATAACAGATGGATCGTTTCACTTTTTTTTTTCTCTTTTTATATTGCATAAAATACACCGAAGCGGAATTAACCATTTTGGTCATCTAACAATTAGTATCGGCGTACCCGCTGGCTCTATATGACACTTTATTTTTTAATAGTATCATTGATCGACAATGTCACAACGGGTGTTTAAAATGTAGAGAACAGCTCGTTTTAATTGCTAACTTTATATGTTAATGTGCACACCATAAACTATCTATCTTACCGTTCAGTTGTCGAACACCACCCACAAAAAACATTATTTGATGAAGACAAACACTCGTCACATGACAAACGTGATGAACAATCACCAGCAAATGATAAACGATAAATCTATATGAAGTCATTCAATTTTTAAACAAAAGAATTCACTTTTTCTTTTCTCTCTCATCATACCTTTGATCCAGATGCAAGAAAAAAACTTGCTGTACGATTATCAAATACAATATCAGATAGAATTGGCAATTGTGTTGATAATTGATGTGAATATATCCAATTTATATTCAGTAGAAAATCAAATATACCCTAGAAATAAAAATATAACTTTAAATTTTTTCTCTTGTTTGATCAATACGATAAAGACAGATGTCATGTCTTTAATCGCGTCATTTGACCCTTTGTCAATATTTTCCTACCCATATACATTATTTTAAGTGAAACGAAAATGTCCTAGGGCGATTTTTTGCTCTACTCTTAATATTCAGACAATACAAATTGTATCGTAGACACCCTTCAGGAGAAATGAGTATGTAGATATATATACACACGAGCGTCTCTTTATTAAAATGGAATGTGTTTTGATTTGATTGATGAAACACTTACCAATTTAAAAGTACCATTGGTTAATCCTTGTAAAAAGAGAATTGATGAACCGAATGAATACAGCTGCATAGCGCTCGAATTTTCAAGTGAATTCTCATAAAATAGTCGACCAATAATAGGACTTATCCCACCTACAGGATAAGGTAAACGATCACTAATTATCCATGGACATATATCATCATCATCATTTGTCATTCCAATTGACCAACTCTAGAAAAATGAAAACAAAAAAAAAACTTTCTTTGATAAGAAAAGATTGAATTATTTACTTCATCTTTTCTACAAGGTTCATTTGGTTTAATAAAATTTAACCCACGTTGTCCAATACCCATTGAATAACAATTTTTATAATTATCTAAAAATGCTTTATCAATTTCATTTTGAATTTTCCATGAACAAATATTCGTTCCAATTGACCCATCACGTTTAACAAATAATCCAATTAAAATCATTTGATTATTATTATCAAGAATTGTTTGAGCAGATTTTAATATCCATTCGGAATTTAAACAAACTAATGGTATTTCTGTATATGAACGTATTAAAGAATTTGATGTATTTCGACAGAAACGTATAATTTTAGTTATAATATTTGTTTGTTCAATATCAGAAGGTTGATTTGTTAAAAAATAAATATAATTTCCACGATAAAATGAATAAATATATTGAACAATAAATGTTGTTTGTTGTCGCGGCATAAAACGTAATGATAAATCATCCCGAGATATTGTATCATCATCATTCACAGATAAAATTTTCATAAAATTTGTTAAATTTAATGAACGTCCTGATATATTTGGTATTTGCCAACGATAATTTCCATCATTTGTATATGTAACACCAAAATAAATGAGATTTTTCTCAGGTATAATTAATCCAATTGTACTATTTATTGGATCATTTGCAACAATTGGTAATGATGAATTAATAATTAAATGAAAATTTTCATCATATATTTGACAATAACCTTGATAAACTGTTCCACATAGAAGTAGATTATTTTTATTTATTAACGATAAAATTTTAAAATGATAATCAAATGATTGTGTTGATAATTCTAATGATAAATTTGTTTTATTCAAAGTTTTCGAAGATAATTTATGGAGATAATTAACTGTACCAATTAATAGATTATCATTTAGAAAAAGAATTTTTTCGATGGAATTATTTAAATCTTTTTCAATTAAATCGATTGATATTCCATTTATAGTTAAAAATAAATAACTAATTAATAGAATAATAAACATTCTAAAATAGAAAATTCCAACGGTTTGTTTTTTTTTCTTCTTCTTTGTCTTATAGTCTTAAAGAAGGATTATATGAAATATGATATGTTGGAGGATTATTTAATCATAAACACAGTGGGACACTCTTAAGAAACGCCCTATTATGTATATTTAATATTTAGAAGAGAATAAAAAGAAATTTAACTTGATTGTATAGCATACCTGACTACCTCGGCATATATAAATATATATATATATCGACTTGTCAATTTGAACGAAGAGAGAAAGAAGAAATGAAGTTGTATATGATGTCTATATGTGAAGAGTGCCGTCGTCATTCTTGTTCGTCCAATTTCTCCTATTTTCTTTTCTTTCGGTCATCGAAGAACGAACGAAAGAAGGAAAAAAAGAAATATATCCAAGAGAATGACCAAACAGGAGCCAATTAGGGACAAATAAAATCAAGTTTATGTCAGAAAATGATAGATGAAAAAAATTTGATTAAGTTACACATGATCTAAGTTGATTTATCCCATGTGAACAATCAATTATAAACAATATTAAATACTCTTTTTTTACATTAAAATATACAAACGGAATTTTCTTCTTCTATTTCAGTTTGTTCGATGAGAAGATTTTCAATATGTCATTTAACCTATAAAATATTCATCAATCTAGCGTGTGATCACTTTCTTTTCGCTTCTGTTCAAATACAAAATGAGCCGAAACAAAACAATCTGTACATATATATATAGATCAATGACTTTATGTCGGTCTACTTTCAGATATGTATACACACATATGAATAAAAACAAGTATGACTGATGAATTGAAAAGAATGTTTTGTTTTTTTCAAGAGTGACCAGCTGAATTTTATTTTCAAGAACTTTTGTCTAGCACTATATTTTTCCAATTTGTTAATTAACAATCGATTTCATTGTTTTATTCTTTCTAATGAAAAATTTTCCAAATGATATTCAATTGAATTATCACATATGTTATTGGAGATGATGAGATTATCATAATTTAGTTTTTTGTGTATGTGTAAACGTTGCAGATAAATAAATGTTGTTCGACTCATTTTTCCTTTCTCAATAACAAACTATTTTCTTGTGAATGAATAAACATTGATGTTATTTAACAAAATCATGTTAATTGAAATAATACAATATAGCACTTTCGATTGTTTAAATATAGCAGCATTACAATTGATTAAAAAACACGATAAAAATATAGTCTTTTGACATTTTGTATTCATCAACAATTTAACAGCTTATGTATAAATTATATTTGATTGAATATGAATTGTATAAGTTAAATCTTAGGTCAAGTAGAACAGATAGTATCTGGGGAAAACATGTTTCAATTTGATTGTTTCCAATAAACATATTTTGTACTGATTGTCCTAAATAAATATCAGTATACGTATGTTTATTGAAAGAAAAACGAAATCTTACTTATTGTTATCTTTACATTATTCTACTAATTACATTGCTGTAGAAACTTTTATTCAAGTACAATTTATTAATTTGAATGAAGTGAAAATAAGGATTTTTTTGTATGAAAAATATTTCGAGAAGAAGAAGAAGTCATTTGTATCGATGATGATCAATGTTGTTTATTTTTATTCTTTAATTAAGTCGTTTTCTTGGATTTGTTTGCTTGATAGGCTAGTTTAAATAAAATAATATTAAAATAAAATATCTTTGATTTAAGATTAGAAAAAAAGAAAGTTTGAAAGTTTTTCTCATTAGTAGAATTTCTTGTATCTTTTATTGATACAAAATACAGGATAAGAAATATTTTTAATAAAATCTGATTAAAAAATTAATATTTCTGAAAAATCGATAATAATAGATATATTAACTTACACCAGATCCAATCTTGAATAAATGGTGGAACTAATTCTTCATATAAAAATTGTCCCCATGGTGGATTTGCAAAAGAAGGAAGTGGTTTTTGTGGTAAATCTAAAATAAATGAAAAGATCTATTTAATGAATTTATTCGAAAAAATTACCTGGATGACGTTCATGAATACGAATTAGATGACCACATCTACATGTTAAACGATTTGAATCAGCACCAATATTTATATTAATTTCTTGTTTATCAAAATCGTACAAATCTTTGAAATACAATGAACAATGTTTTTTCTGCCAACGACATGAAAAACAGGTTGAACGTGGTTTTTCATTGGGAATTGTTTTTTCTACAAGAATACACGAAGAATTTGTTCCTTTCGAACAATTATCAAATGAATTTTGTTGTGATGATATAGACGGAATGTGTTTTTGTTGTTGTTCGACAATATTAAGTCTTGCATCGAAATCGATGAATTTTCTTTTAAATTCATCAAGTGATTTAAAAATTATTTGATTTTCGATTAGAATTTGTTCTGATGTTAATTGATACTCTTCATCAAGTTGAATCTGCTTATCTGCAACATTGGATGACATTTTAATAATTATTTTAATGAAAGAAAATAATCTGAAAAAAATAAGACAAAAAAAACATCAATATCAGACAATGTATAGAAATGGTTCAAAACATAAAGAGAAAAAAAAATGTTACTAATAAAGTATCTGAAAGCTATACTTGATCACTGTTTTATTAAACCATATATAAATGTCGATAAACTAATTCCGACACCAACAATTGAGCATAAGTTTATCATTGATACCACTTGATTGTTACCACATAAACTATATAATAAATAAATTGGTATCATTACGATGAAGAAAAGAACACGAACTAAAAATATTACAAGAATATATTCATATAATTTTTAAATAAATGAATACCTATTGAGAAGAGAAAATCTTTGAGTATCATGAAAAATGCATGGCCAAGAGAACGTTGAAGAGACCCAGGTTGATTATTACGAACTTCGTAAACGATTGAATACGACCGTATCCGAAAAAAATACGACCATATACGACCGTATTTCACCGTTTTTTGCCGTATTACCTGTGGCCGTATTACGATCGTATGTCTCCGTACCGTATACGGAAAAGTATGATCGTTTACGGAGAAAAACGGTCGTAAAAGATCGTATTTTTCCGTTTACGGCACGGAGACATACGATCGTAATACGGCCTCAGGTAATGCAGCAAAATACGGTCGTGCGCGATCGTATTTCTCCGTATACGATCGTTTACGATCGCGCTTGTTTGACCTGGGGATACTGGTAAACATAATATTGAACATGTATTTTTCACTAAAACAAATATAAAATCTAATTTAAAGGTTTTGTTTGTCGTAATCTTACCATTAAAAATTATTTTAATGATTTCTTGTAGAACAAAGTCAGAAAAAATATCCTTTATAGGATAATGAATTGAATAAGATATCGGCATTCCTAAACATAAAATGAAATTATTAATCGTTTTTACGAAAGATTTTATTACGTGTATTATGTATATGGCTTATTCCAGGATGCTTACACTTGCGACAAACATGATTATCAACATGTTCAGTTGGCATAAATGCATCATTTTCGTAGCTATATAATCCAGGTCAACCAATCCAACGTTGGATCCGATCATTCGACAGAATCCGATAGGATTCCTGGTGACGGATTTGCATTGGATTCCGTACGGAAAATTTTCAGTCACTTGTTACAAATTTGATGAGCGGCGTTTTTAGCTATTTTCTATGATGGCCTTATGGTCACCTATCGGATCCGTCTAGATCCGTTTGTTGGAAATTGTGAGATCCGATGTTGGATCCGATGGGATCCGACCACAACGGAATCCGAAGTGATTCCGTCACCAGGAATCCTATAGGATTTTGTCGGATCGTCGGATTCCGACAGAATTCGGCATAGGATCCGATCGGTTCCGATCGGATCCGAATATGGGATTGGTGCACCTGGGAAGTCATGAATGAAGAATGTGCATGGTGGATTTGTAAAATTCCACCGACAATCACGACAACTAAATGATATAATGAAAATAATATTCTAGAAGAAAATGGTATTAATAAAATCACATTAAATAAATATATTTCTTCAAAGTTCGTCAAAAAATAATAAACAAGGTAGCGCTCATCCGATGGATTCGCTGACCCTTTTCTGAAAGAAAATTTTCTATGATTATTATTAACAAGTAACGCTCGTTCAGAGACTCGCTGAGCTCTTTCTTGTAGAAAACGTGTTCTACAATACTACTGAACTTTTTACTTGTATAGTTTGCAAAAACTAACATCAGATTTGAGTTCCTCAACGTCAATTACTCTTCGGTCAACCCTTAAAAAAAAATTTTTTTCATAAAAAGTGGTCCTTTGTGTAAAAAACTGAAGAATAAAAAAATTTCAAAAAACTGACCTTAGATTCGGGTTCCCCGAGCCTGATTACCCTTGGTCAATCATTTTCTGATGACCATCGATAAGTTTTCATTGACTTATAAAATGCTGCAATCTGATTGGCTTGGACAAACGGACTAACTTTAAGCATTTTTATGGAGCCTATAACCCTTTCTTTCAGAAAAGGGAATAATAAATATAGATATAAATATATATCAGATTAGCTATGTCATTTAACCAATCATTCCTTTCGCTTTATAGATATCACTTTTCTTTCTTTGAAATTTTTTTTTTCTTTTGTGCGATGAATAGGAAATTATTTCAGCAATAAAAAATGATTAAAATTAAAAATGAAAGACAAAGATTTGATTTAAAATAAATGAAAAAAGAAAATTTTTTTTCTTTTCGATTTGTTCAATAATTATTTTAATATATTTTAACTTATCCAGTTGATTAATTAAAGGAAAAACATCTGATGTACAGAAACATATATTGATGTAGAAAAGATACTTGTATTATGTTTTTTGTTCATAATAATGTATCAAATATTTTAACAAGTGATGTATATGTATTTAATTAGAATCTTACGATATTATTCGAAGAAATTTATTCATACTTTATCAATGACACTTTAACATATTAAAATCAATATATAAAAGTAAGATATTTTGACAAGAATTTTTGAACTAGACTAGCAACCAATAAAGATTTGCCATCAACTTCTATCATGATTTATTGAATAGTGGATTTTGAAGATGAAAATTCATTTAAAGTATTCAACTGCTGATCATTGAGATTACAAAAATAATATATATTCGTTTCTTAAGAACAATAGATTCAATGGACAAACTCTTGAAAACAGATCCTATCAATAATATTGTCTCTCTCTCGTTTTTTATTGTAGAGTGTTTTTTGTATCGTAGAATAGTAAATAATCTATTTTTGTCTCTATAATCCATATAAAATAATGTATTGTCGTATTTTTCTTTAAAGATATTAGTTGGTAGGGCATCTGGTGATTGACATCCGTGTACATGAACAAATGCGTGATGTTTGTGTAAACGATATGGATCGCTGTGAGACAAGAAAAAAAGGAGACAAAAAACGAATAAGAGATTTCTCTTGTGTATTTTTAATGATAGGAGAAAAGGAAGATGTGATATTTAGGAGAAAAGGCGCATATACAGGAAAAAAAATGTGAGCAACCTTCATTGTCTTCATTACATTGATATCTACAGATAACGTTATTTGCTAGTCTTATTGATAAATAACAACAACAAGTATCGACTAGAAACAATGGCTGACGAGGTAATGTAAAAACAATAGAATTGTTTAAATAATTTATATTTAGTAATATATAAATCGAATAAAAATACCTTTTTTGAAGTTTACTCCAGAAGAGAGAAAGATCTACATATATATGTATGCTTAATTTAATCCAGTACATGAATTAATATACTGAAGAATGTTCTATGTTGATTAATTGATGAAATAAAGTTATTTTATCTATTTTTAGGGACGTGGATTAACTGAAGAAGAAAAGAAAGCTCGAAAGAAAGCTGAACGTGAACGTAAACGTCAAGAAGCTCGTGATGCAGCTGAAAAGAAGAAACGTTTTGCGTTAACACCTGAAAAGAAGCGTAAACTTCGGGTTTGTTAACTTTTTCTTATTATAAATCAAATCAAAATAAAAGTATTTAGCTTCTTATTATGAAAATGGCAACAGACAATCTTAAAAATGCTGCTGAACAACGATCGGCTGCTCGTCAAAAATATATTCAAGAACGTCTTGAACCAGCTCCAGATGATTATAATCGTCTTAATGAAGCTCAACTCGTATCAATGGTTAAAGAACTATTTAAACAATTAAGTGACACACATGAATTACAATATGATTATGATATGAAAATTCGAAAACAAGATTACGAAGTAAAACGATTCGAATTATTTTTTATAAATACAAATAAAGTTTTCTTTTATTAGATTAATGAATTAACAATTAAAGTAAATGATGCTAAAGGCAAATTTATAAAACCAACATTAAAAAAAGTATCAAAAACTACACAAAAGTAAGATATTAATTTATAAAAAAAACGAAATTATTAATTTTATTTCAAATAAATTTAGATTACAAAAATTACAAAAACCAAAAGAAGAAGAAGTTGATTTTCGTGCTCATCTTAAACAATCAACAAATAAATTTGCATTGAAAGATGAACATAAAGAAGAAGATAAAGTCAATTTTCGAGAACAAATACAATTGAAATCAACTAAAGGCGATCATCATCATGAAGATGAATAATTATTTTTATAAACATATACACAAACAGGTCCCTAATATACGAATTTTTTTCTCTTTAGTTTTCGTTTTCCATAGTAGAACAAATAAAAAAAATCAAAGTTATATATTTATTGTTTTGATTTTATTCGAAAAATTCTGATCATTATTGAAATATTTGGCATTATATGATTTTATTATTCTTTGTAGTTCATATATGCGATTTATTCTTGTGCCTACTCCGCATAAAGATGAACATCGGAATCAAGCATCTATTTATAAGCAGATGTGTATGTTCAATGAGTACATATATATCCATTCTTCCTTTTCTCGAATAAAACTATATGACGTAATCAATTTTCTAACTTCTTCTTTTTTCCCCAGTTGACTTTGTTTGAAGCTTGATTGTATAGGCAATAGGGCACAATTGTTGTTTACGGTGCATATTCTAGTAAAGGGCATAAGAAGCAGTAGAAGAAGAAGAAGAAAGAGGAGGAAAGAAGAAAATCATAAACGAAGACTTATATATTGATTATTTATCGGGTCGTTCGGCAAGGTTGTTATTGCTATCTGCCGAGAAAATCTTTTCAAGATGCTGCTGCGAATATTTTCCTTTGAATAACATATGAAATTAATAGAATAGAAAAATGATCTTATTTCAGAATAAGATTAAAATAATATTCGAGAAATATTTTTCTAATCATCACTTTTTTGATTTGTATTATAATATTAATTATAGATAATATTAGTATTTCGAAAGCAAAAAAAAGAATTCCTTTTGTAATTCATCATCATCTCACATACGAATGAGAAAAGATAGAAGATTAGTATATTTCTTTTTCTCTGGTCTCATCCAGTTCTATATCCATATGTATCCACATATGTGTACTGATTTATACAAACATCATAAGATAGGAAAGAACAATAACGAGCTTTTCTATTTGTCGTTGATGATATAGTCCATAGAATAAATGTAGCGAGAAACTTCTTGCTTTTCTTTTTTTCTTCTTCTCCTCCGTATATATTATATATACACATATACGGATATTTTGGGAATAGGACAACATCATCATTGGTTTTTTTTCTCTGTGTCTCTCTTCCGCCGACCTATTTTTCTTTATCTTTCTGTGGCTTATACGTAGGTTGATATTGCCAAGAAAAGCGAAGAATAAGTGTTTGGTACTAACATCATCATCTTATATTTATCTCTCTCTCTTTTGCTGCTTTTACAAAATCAACAAAGGACACCAAATAACTTTTAGTTAAACCGAACAGAAAAATGGCTGACGAGGTAATAATCTTATCAATACAAATAAAATTTATCAATAAAAAAATCGAATGTATAATGCATGTTTATATATATATTTAATCAAACTAAAATAAAAATTCGCATGTTATTTCTTTGCACGAATACAAGACATATATACACAAAAGCTCGATTTGCATGATATTGCATATATATGAAATATACATATATCAATCAAATGAATTTTTATGCATAACTATATATCTATATATAAATCATAAATTTTCACTGCACTGAATCACTAAGAAAAAAAACAAAGTTGGCTGATAATTGATTTGCTAAATATCAATAATAACACACAGAGATCTGTTATGCGATCTGTCTGTATAGCATGGGCATGCTTTATCTGAGGAGAAAAGAATTTTGTGCATATTTTTTTCATGAAAAATTTATCAAATTGTTTGTCCATAGGATCGAGCATTAACTGAAGATGAAAAGAAGGCTCGCAAGAAAGCCGATCGTGAACGTAAACGTCAAGAGGCTCGTGATGCAGCTGAAAAGAAGAAACGTTTCGCTTTAACACCTGAAAAGAAACGAAAACTTCGTGTTAGTATTCATGCATAATAATTTCTTCTTTTTCGAAAAAAAAAATCAATTTTATAATTCATTCAGCTTTTGATTATGAAAATGGCTACAGATAATCTTAAAGGTGAACAACAAAAACGTTTAGAAGCACGTAAAAATTTTATTGAACAACGTTTAAAACCACTTGATGATCTTAGTTCAATGAGCGATGGTGATTAATCAAAATATTTTATTTGTCAAAACTAAAAATCAATCTTTTGTCTTTTAGCTCAACTTAAATCACTTTGTCAAGATCTTCATAATCAATTAAAAGCAACTGAAGAAAATCGTTATGATTTTGAATTAAAAGTTCGAAAACAAGATTATGATGTAAGCAAAGAAATCCACATTTCTCAGATATTATATACATATATGCAATTTTAGATTAATGAATTGACAATTAAAATCAATGATATTAAGGGTAAATTCGTTAAACCATCACTTAAGAAAGTATCGAAAACTGAACAGAAGTAAGTGTTACTTTTTTTTTGATAAATTTTGATTTTATTTTCAAAATTAAAATACATTAGATTGAATAAAATTAAAAAACCAAAAGAAGATGAACCTAATTTTATTAATATGGCTAACTTAAAACAATCGACTAATAAATTTGCTCTTAAAGAAGAACAAGCAGAAGAAGAAAAAATCAATTTTCGTGATCAAGTTCAACTTAAATCTGCTAAAGAACATAAAGAAGAAGAATAAACATATTATTTCTAACATCAAAAAAAAAAATTCATTTTTTAACTTTATTAACTTAATAACATTTTTCTTTTGTCAACCCTTTCTTTCTCGCTCTCTCTTTTCTTTTGCTGTCTTGTCTATTCATCATACATTTTCTTTTCTTTCTTTTTTAGTCACAATGATTATAATAAGAACAAATAAAAATAAATATTGATTATGCAAGAAATTAATTTTGAATTGAGATTGGAATATAATCAGATTTTCTTTGTGACTTTTTCTTTATTAAATGACCTTCTTCGGATATTAATCGACGATATTGAATATCTTTTTCTTTTAATTGTCGACGATGTTTTAATGGAACACAAAATAACCATATAAAAAGTATCACATGTATTAATATAAAAATACCAATAGACAAGTATAAAACATATTGATCTAAATGTACAAATCGACTTGCTGGAGTCACACGAGAATCAGGTGTATTGTAAAATATTAAACCACCAATAATCGCATGCCATATTGAAAGAATAACAAGTATAAATAGACACATTATCGCATATTTATCCATAGTTGTCAAATATGATATTGTAGGCTTTATACGGGAAAGAGAATTAATTAATAAAAGAAAAAAAGAAAACAATGCATTAGAAAAACTTACAAGCGATCGATTTACTGTCCAACGAAATGTAATAGATGTTAGAAGAAGTGTACAACATATTTGAAGACGATTTGCTGCTAAACTTTGAATATTTATACAAATATATATATAAATTAAATTTTTATATTATTAAAAATTAATAATTTACTTTGGTGGAATAGAAAATATACAAAACGATACAATAGTTATTAGAAATATTAACCAATATCCATTCCAATAGAAATAATTCGATCGACGAGCTTTAAAATTATAAAATATGAATTTCTTTAGTTTTTATATAATTTAATTTAATACGAACCAGCATGACATGTTACTGTTAAAATTGAACGATATCGTTCTTTATTATTGATAGCATTTGCATTATCATCTTCACCATTACCTTTATCTTCTTCTTCTTCTTCATCGTCATTATCTTCTCGAAAAAGAAATTCTTTAATATATCTTTGTTGTGTATCAACATGTTCATATAAAGACCATTCTTGTTGATCAATAAATGCTTCACGATTAACACCACTTGAATAATATGGATCAGCTATTAATATAACTTTATCATTATAAAACATTGATCCAATTGATATAGATAAATCTTGTACATCCGATGGAAAATGATGTAATTCAAGTTTCTCCCAAAATAAACCTTTGATATCACGATATTCACGAATATAAATTTGAGAATCAATTTTTGATTTTCTTGCACTATATCTTATTTGTTCTTTTAAATCACCCAAAGCATTTTCAACATATAATTGTGGATGCCAATTTGTTTCAGCATATTTCATAAGTGAAATCGATTTTCCATGAAGTAAACGATTTAATTCATCCGATGATAAATTCGATGAAATTTTATCTAATTCAATTGACCAACGTGATTCAATAGCTATTTGAGCTTGATATTTTTCATTTAATGTATCAATTTCACCTATTCGAAGAAACATAAGTCGAACATAAACTTTATATGCTTTATTTGAATTCATGGATAATAGATCGATATTTGCTTCTGTAGCTTTTTGAAAGACTAAAATGAATCTAATGAATACATTCACATTATAAATATATTTTTATCGTACCTTCCAACGCACTACGTACAAGTGACACTTTATGCATTTGCGGGGAACCATTTAAGTGTCCTTTCATCAATGCCATGCACTCCTGGATATTCTAATGGATTTCTAGTCTTTGAAATGTATTTTTAATTGCTTTTGATGTTATTGATGACAAGTCGTCATTTACGTTTTTTTTTCAATGCTTTAAACTATGTAAAAATGATAATACAAATCGACAGATCGATCTTGTTTTCTCTTTTGAATGTGACATTCTTTCAATGATATATTAATTAAAATGTCATACTGTGAAAAAGATTACTAGCATAAAATATTAATCAATAGAAGCGAAATTATGTGAATTTACTTACATTAATACGAAAAATATTTGTATGTAATATCGATCATTGATTCCGTAGTAGATTTTCTTTAAAAAAAAGAAGAAAACGTGTGAATAATTCTTATTAGTTTAGGAAATAAATCAAATTTTGTCTACAGATGTTATAACGTTGTCATCATTGACTTCCTGTTCTGTCTTGTAAAAAAATATATTTGCATTTGAGTAGAGAACTTCAATGTCTCTTTTCTTTTTTTTCCTCTACCCTATAATTTACATCTTCAAATTTCTATTTAAAAAATAGTTTATTAATCTGTCTGATATATAAATAAATATGTACATATAAAAAAAAGTACAAATCTATAGAAAGGAACCACTTTTCAAATAGACCTATTTGTATATCATTTTCTATAGTGTATTACTTACTGTTAATCATACATTAGTGTATAAAAATAAATATTAGTTATATCTAAGTATAGGGTAAGCTAAGAATAAGAAAATATATGCCAAGTTACTTCACTAATACATTATAGTTGAATATAATGAAATATTTGTATATATGAAGGACAAAGTGTATATACTACAAGTAATCATAAGAAATATTCGAATTATATTTCTTGATGTTGTAGAAAACTCGGATGTTGACTACGAAGTAAAATTATGCCATAATAATATTGTAAGAAAAAGTAATAATGATTTTTACTTATAAAATATTTAGATAATTATATCGTGAGAAAAAAAAACGTTGTAGACACAGTTCTTATGAGATTAAAATATAATATGCAGTTATTAATAAAGAGATAGACACATATACAATGCTAACTTAAATCAGTAAAATATTTATATTCATTTTTAGTAATGAAATATCTATTTGAATTGAATTAGAAGCATAATTGTTATAACTCATTTATAAATTGTTTGAAAAAAACAGGCTTCAGTTCATATAAAGTACTCAAATTTCAACAAATAGAAAAAGATCGTATGTGGTAAACTTTTATTATTTTGTTTATATTAAAAAAAAGTATTTATTGTCAATTGGATGTAAATATCTAATTATCAAAATACTCTCCAATTTCTCATTATCATTTGATGAAAAAAAAGTTTTTCTCTTAGCACAACATGTGTTTTCAATATATTTGAAATTGTCGTTCCGTTCTCATTTTGATTAAAGTACATTTTTTTGATCAAAAGATAGCCTCTAAAATTTTCCACAAAATGACATGCTCTATTTAATGAATAGTCTTCTCATTTTTTTTTCTAACCAGGAAAAATTATACTGTAAAATCAAGTATAAAATGTCAAATTTTTTCTTTTTTACTTTGTCATGTAAGAAAAATTTTGTTCCTGTATGATCTCAATATACTTACATATCATTTTCTGTTGAGGTCAAGTATATGTACACTTGATTAACATTTAATTTAAAAAAATTAATCTATGCCATGTATCCGGATCTATTAAGAATGTTACTTTGACCTTTTTTTGATGACAAACGTGAAGATAGTAAGAATATGTATAGGATTTCCGCAGATAATTTTCTTATTAATGTCTATTCTTTTTATAATTTGTTCTTATATTAAAGTATGTCTTGATGATCGAGACAATATAGTCGATATTTTTGATTCTTTACATTCATAAGTTAATTCGTTACTTTGAAATGGTTTCATTCATCATTATTTATGTATCTTAAATGAGATTGTCTATGATTTCCTTCAGATATTTAAGCGATTTTTGAAACAAAAGTGTTTTAATCAAAAGGATGATAGAGAAAAATCTACTAGTAAATAAATGAATAAAACAGAATTTTCTTAAGAATAAATTGTTAATACAATAGATTAAATCAAATTAAGTATATCGACTTATTATCTTATATGAATATTTGCTATCAATATAGAAAATAAAATAACTTACGTTGACGTTTACGTTGAAAAGTACATGTGACTTTAGAAATGTCTATTTGACGAATGAATGCATATAAAACATTTGTCTACCTCAGATGGGAAACGTGTTCAACAAGCCTGATACAACACGCATGAAAAAAGAATTTAAACAAGTATGCACTTCAAATAATTAAATCCGTTGTATATAAATAAACTTAGAAACAAAATGTTTGCTTTGTCGTCTCTATTATCTCATAGGAAATATAGTGTAAAATGTATGAAAATTAAGTATTCATTCTTGAACTTAACTCATAATCTGTTGTTCATTAAATTTTTTAAAATATATATTTAGAAAAGAAATAGAATTATAACGAATGTTCATAGATATATATTGAATCTTTCTTATCGAAAAAAACGCCAATCAAATGGTTCAACAGCTGCATGTTTTATTGGTGAGATTGGAGGTTTTGTTGGTCGCCATGACCCATCCATTTGTTTAGCAACACAATGCATAGATAGAAAAGGAACACGTAATACAAGAAATTTCAAATCATTAACACGTGGTTGACCACCAGTCAACTGTCGTGTGCATACTTCAATTGTGGGTGCCTAGAGAAAGCAAAAAAAAAAAAGCAAATTTGTTTTTTTCTTCTATAAATATATTAAATTAATTAGAATCTTACATGTCCAACAATAAGTAAATTGCCTCCATCCATTTCATGATTTTTTAAAATTGAAGTCATAATAAAATGACTTCTTGTATAATACATTAATTCATCTTCATCTTTTCGAAGACTTTCCATAGGATAAAATGCTTTATATGATTTATCAACATTATATCCATTTCTTGTTAATTCATCTAAATCAAGAAATGGCCATTTCACCGGTACAACAGGATACCATTTAAGAAATTCAAAAAGACATGGTTCAATACGAATTGATATATCATCACGCATTCGAAGGCCTTCAAGAATTTTATCAGCTGTTTGAACACAACGTAATGCAGGTGAAGCATAAACATGATGAATTTCAATACCTTGTGCAGCAAGTTCTTCACCAACCATTTTACATTCATGTAAACCTAATTCTGTTAATGGAGGATCAAATAGAAAATCTTTTACATCTCTTCTTGTAACCATTTTTTTCGGTAAATTTAAATTAATTCGACGATATGTACCAGTTGCTTTATCAAATACTTGATCAAGCCAACCAGCACCAAATGTTGAATCAACACGTTCAGCATGACGAACAACTAATACTTTTGATAGTTCACGTTGAGTTGATGTTTGTTGATGAATTGTTTGAAGAACAAATGGTTGTTTAATAAAACGCAATGAACGACGACGAGTTAGTGTTAGATTATTTGAATCATTTGGATGATTTGGATTTATTGGAAGAAGTTGTTGTTGTATAAGAGAATGAGAATTACCTTGTTGTGTATTGATTACTAATGGTTGAAGTGACTGTGGTTGATTGACAAAGACAGGATCAGATAAACGTTTTCGATTTTTTCGAGGGTCATATGATTGATTGGAATTTTTTTCACGTAAAACAACTGTATTATAAAGATTTTCCAGGAGAATTTGTTGAACTTGAGGATGTTTTAAAGTAGAATAAGAAAATGTATTCGATTGTGATGGTGATGGTTGTTGTTGCTGTTGCTGCTGCTGTTGCTGTTGTTGTTGCTGCTGTTGTTGCTGCTGCTGCTGCTGCTGCTGTTGTTGCTGCTGTTGCTGTTGCTGCTGTTGCTGCTGTTGTTGCTGTTGTTGTTGCTGTTGTTGTTGTGAAGGTTCATTGATTTGAGGTGATGCTGGATTTGTTGCTTGTGATGTATTTATATTTAAATTATTAGTTGGACCTAAACTTGCTGTAGGAGAAACTAATCCAGCCGCTGCTGCAGCATTAAAATTAATTAAATTATAATGAAGTTGTTGTTGCTGTTGCTGTTGTTGTTGTTGTGCAGTTGCATTTATATCAGAAAATTGAACAGGAGTAGGAGCAAATGGAGTTGGTGCAGGTACACCCGATGAATTTAAAAACATATTATTTATATAAACAACTATTTGATTTATTTCCAGTATTACCCCATTTTTATCTAAAAAAATTCGAATATGAAAGAGAAAAAAAAGAGACGATATGTGTTATTCAATGAAACTCATGGCTATCTGTCTGCATTGATAGAAGACATGATGAAAAGAAGGTCATAGAATGGAAAAAAAAGGCAAATGATGTGTGAACTAAACGAACATACAAGACAGTCATGCCTGAGATAAGTTTTCTAGAGAATGTAATTTATTTGATGTGCACAGTAATTGCTATAGTCACATTGATTACTGTATATACATATCGTAAGTATGTGCGTGTTCCTTTATATATAATCGATGAGGGTAGTCATGTTACCTTTTACGCAGCCATTCTAATTACCTCTTTGTAGGCTCATATAAATGTACACGTCATCCACCTTTTCGTTTACCTTCTTTGATGATTTTTTCGTTTTGTCTAAAACTATAAAGCACGTGAGCAGATTATTTTTATATTACATATTTCGATCGAATTATTTCCAACAAGACATTAACTAATGATGCAAACACGTGAATAAATGTCGTCGTCGTCGAAAAAGAAAAAAAAATGCAAGATATGAACTATATATATTTGATATTACCTATCGAGTATGTATCAAGGTTTTCACACATTAATATCACGTTCAAATGAACAAGAACAATACTCTATATGTACATATCGATCATATAAATATAAAAAAAAAAGAAACTGACAAATTGTCTCGATTAATTTGATTCCTTGAACCGTCATCTAACCAAGATATACATTAGATCTATATCGATCAATAAAAATTTGTCACTATTCTTGAATATATATACATATAAATACACGTGTGTTCACCAAGCAATTATCAAGTCAAGGTGAACATTTTGAAATATGAAATGATGGAAGAGTCATATCTGAAAATGACAACGATTTTTTTTCTTCTATAATGAATCAGACAAAAATAATATATTTCAATTAATAACTATTTTGAAAGACAAACGTATGAAAATAAATCAATTATTTTCACATACATATTTTTCTTATCATTGAAAAAGAAACACTTACATTTTTACCTTTAGTTTTCATTAATTATTAAAAAGGCAAAGCTATCATGTGATTATACTCAATTACAATCATTGTATATATCAAGTCAAGCTAGTCAAAATATTGATTTTAATAAATAAAAAACAACATTATTCACATCAATATATACAAACAACGAAAATTAATCAAAATTCTTTTGAGATAATTTATATATGATTAAAAAGATAATTATCAATAGCCTTTTCATTTTGCAAGGACATATACGAATACGTAATAGTTAATCATTCAAACATATCATTAAGTAAAAAGAAAAAAAAA